GTACTCTTGGCTAAGTGTTGATAACTTGTGAGGCGAAGTCTCCTGTCTATACGTGTGGCTCTTCTTGAATAGACAAAGCGAAGGATCCATTCCCCTTTCTGAATTGTTGTAGTTCTTCCGCTTCTATGCTTATCAATCGGTTGTTGTAGTAGTCAAATTTGATTGATTTTTTCACCTCTTCACTACCCATAATTGAGCTCTCAACAATTCTGATCGGTTCAAGACCAATTTGTAAAATATTTGAATTTTGAAAAAAAAATCAGCTCAAATTTAAGCTTTTCCTTGTTTTATTATTGTTATTTTAAATGATATTTGTTGTAAATTGAATGTCGGAATGTCTCCCCGTCAGTGGAAAAGATGCTTCTCGAAGTTTGGCTGTTAGACAGCCTTTTTGACTTGCGAAGTCAAAGAGTTCTATCGCTTTAAAATAAATTTTTCATTTTTGTTTGTTTGTTTGTTATCTTGTGTAAGAAGCTGGTTGAAGCCATTATTACTTGAAATCTAACTCCAGTTACGTATCGTTCTCAGTAGAATGTTGTTTTCACATCATTGTTCTATATCTCGTGGAGTTTATGAGAGTACCACTAGTAAGCATATTTTTTGTTTGTCGTGAAGAACTCAAGGAGAGTTTGGACGCGTCTGGACAAAGAGAGCTGAAGACATTTCTGTGTTTTCAGACGAGCAGGAGATTATCCGACACTGTGTGGTGGAGAACAACATCACCGACTAATGGATTGATACAGGTCTGTGTCTCGTTCAGTTCAGGAGCATTGGGAGTTGATCGTACGTCTTAGTGTTATCTTCCTTGTATTTCTTATTTTTAGTGAATTCAGATGTTTCGAATGCTCTCTTGTCCTGTGTAGTGGTGTTGTGAAGAATTATTGAGAATGAGTTAATCTTTTTTTGTGAGAACAAGAGAAGAGTAATCTGTTACTCAGTAGTGCAGGATCAAATCAACGGAGGAAGAGGATTCCCCTTTCTCATACGTCCCAATGCTGGTCTGTTATAAAAGTGGCTGGAGCCTAGACTAAATCGCCGTGTTCTGATTGTTAGCTCTTGACGTGTTACTGTTTTTAAATTTGTTACAGGTGGTTGTTGAGAACTCTAAAGCCATTAGAAGACATTTCCCGTGTCCGGGACATGTTCAACCAAGTGAATGAGTGGCAGGTAAGATCGAGTACTAAAAGTAGTTCTGTCTCTCCAGTTTTACGAGCAGGAGGATGACCTGTTGCTGTTCCATAGAGGATTCACATCAGCGATGATAACTGCTGTCTCAGTTTACGGGGCTTGGAAGTTGATCGTACGTCTCAATGCTATCTTCCTATCGTTAATCGTTATCATTTCAGTGGATTCAGATGTGTTCACTGCTTTCTTGCTCTGTTAGGAGCTCTCCAACTGGATAAGTAGCAGGTAAGAAACAGGAATGAGAGTGAGCTTATGTCATCTTTTCAGATTTACGAGAGCAGAGGACCTCAACGACAGTGGAGAAAATCGCTAACAGCATGTCACTGAGCGCAGATTGCTCGGAAGTTCATCGTTTGTCTCTATACTATCTTTCCCTAGTTGATCGTTATCATTTCAGTGGATTCAGATGTGTTCACTGCTCCTTGTCCTGTTAGGAGTTCTTCAAGTGAATGAGTAGCAGGTCTGATTGAGTGTTAAGCTGAACGTAGTTGAATCATTTCAGGTTCACGAGCAGGAGAACACGGAGTGGAGGAGGACGTCAACGACTGATACCAGGATCTCCTCAGATCGGAGGATTCGGAAGTTCATCGTATGTCTCAGTTTTTTCTTTCTCGTATTAATCGATCTTTTCAGTCGACCCAGATGT